CACAATGAACATTTGTACACACACAGCCACAGTAAATACACACTGTCAGTCAATGAAATTATTAAAAGAGAAAGTTAAGGCATAAGATTGATTATCCAATATTTCTTTATACTTTATCCAAGAAATAGCATAACTCAGTCTACACATGTAATATTAAAGTAGAAGTATTGGATTCCATTAGAATCAGATTTTAGCGTCTAATGTAAAGGTCACGACCACCACTTACTTTTGGCCTCTGTTTCCTCGCTGTGTCCCAGATGGTGATTCTCCATGTTTTGGATCGTCTCATTCAGTTGCTTCTTCAGCTGACACTTTGTCAGAATCGTGCTTTGGGCCACACCACAGCCGACCAGCAGCAACACCAGCAGCGCCGTCATCTTCTCGGCCGTCGTCTGTGAGAGGACGTGTGATCTGTGAGTCGCTGACAGATCACACAGAAACCTGCGTCTTCTGTTCGAGGCCGCTCCCCCGGCGCCCGGAAACTCTGCAGAAGCCACATCACCTGGGTTCAGGTTTCTGAGCCCTGAAGAGGTTGAGGGGGTGGAGGCAGGAAAAATGATCCATCGACCTGAAAACTTCTTTTCTCATTTCCAGGCGACGCCTTCGTCCTGTTGAAAAGAGACTAAAACCAGATGAGGTGAAACAGTTTGTCTTCCCACGACACATTTATGATTTCAGAGGATTGTGTTTCAGCTCAGTGTGACACCGAGGAATTCAATATGTGTGTTTCATTGTGTGTGTGTGTGTGTGTGTACTCTTCAGGACCTCTCCAGTATAAACGCTGACCTTGTCCGGACCCCTGGACGTCATGGGGACCAGAGATCAGGCCTCACGACGTCCTGGTGTAGGTCAGAGGTCATCAAACAGGTTAATGTGTGAATTGAGGGTTTGTGTACGTGTGTGTGTTTGTGTGTGTGTGTGTGTGTGTGTGTGTGTGTGTGTTTGTAACACAAAAAAGAAGCAGTGCAGGAAAACAGGAAGATGAAAGCTGAGCTGGAGAGAACATCATTTGTGTTTCAGAAGAGGTTTACGACAGAGAAGGTGGAAATGTCAGATATTTTATTACAGAGAGCAGAAGTGAAGACCTGCTGCTGGACTCAGTCCTGAGAACCTGAAGACCTGCTGCTGGACTCAGTCCT